GAGATAAAATAAAGGACAATGGGTTGATGATTGATCTATGCCATAGGTTTGATCCAAATAAAAAATGAAAATAGTGTGATAAGAGTGTAAGCTATCTTCTTTGATGATATCAATGCACATGAAAACATTTTGAACTTCCATGAAGTACATAACTTTCTCCTAATTTTTGAGGTCTTCTATGATGGTTGTTTGTCTCTTCTTCAGTGATCTTGGAAATGCAGCATTATCTGGCCAATTTTTGGTCCCTCAGCTTGGCCAGCTCAAGAATTTACAGTACCTGTAAGTCTATTTTTATGTGTTTGCCTAAATGCTGCCTTGGATTTTTTTAGTTTGTCTTGATATTATTACTTTCTATTACTAAACCATCCCTCCCTTCCTCACTCTATGTAGTCTGTCAGACCATGGTAAAAAAGCCTTTGTAATTATTATTGATCTAACATTATTGATCATCTGTACTGTTCATCTGTTAACATTATTGATCATCTGTACTGTTCATCTGTTAACATTATTGATCATCTGTACTGTTCATCTGTTAACATTATTGATCATCTGTACTGTTCATCTGTTAACATTATTGATCATCTGTACTGTTCATCTGTTAACATTATTGATCATCTGTACTGTTCATCTGTTAACATTATTGATCATCTGTACTGTTCATCTGTTAACATTATTGATCATCTGTACTGTTCATCTGTTAACATTATTGATCATCTGTACTGTTCATCTGTTAACATTATTGATCATCTGTACTGTTCATCTGTTAACATTATTGATCATCTGTACTGTTCATCTGTTAACATTATTGATCATCTGTACTGTTCATCTGTTAACATTATTGATCATCTGTACTGTTCATCTGTTAACATTATTGATCATCTGTACTGTTCATCTGTTAACATTATTGATCATCTGTACTGTTCATCTGTTAACATTATTGATCATCTGTACTGTTCATCTGTTAACATTATTGATCATCTGTACTGTTCATCTGTTAACATTATTGATCATCTGTACTGTTCATCTGTTAACATTATTGATCATCTGTACTGTTCATCTGTTAACATTATTGATCATCTGTACTGTTCATCTGTTAACATTATTGATCATCTGTACTGTTCATCTGTTAACATTATTGATCATCTGTACTGTTCATCTGTTAACATTATTGATCATCTGTACTGTTCATCTGTTAACATTATTGATCATCTGTACTGTTCATCTGTTAACATTATTGATCATCTGTACTGTTCATCTGTTAACATTATTGATCATCTGTACTGTTCATCTGTTAACATTATTGATCATCTGTACTGTTCATCTGTTAACATTATTGATCATCTGTACTGTTCATCTGTTAACATTATTGATCATCTGTACTGTTCATCTGTTAACATTATTGATCATCTGTACTGTTCATCTGTTAACATTATTGATCATCTGTACTGTTCATCTGTTAACATTATTGATCATCTGTACTGTTCATCTGTTAACATTATTGATCATCTGTACTGTTCATCTGTTAACATTATTGATCATCTGTACTGTTCATCTGTTAACATTATTGATCATCAAAAAAAAAAATAAAATATTATTATAAATTATTATATTACTCTCTTTATTTTTTATACATAATTTTATAAAAAATCAAAAATTAATTAAAATAAATATATGTTCCTTGTTTTAATAATTAAAAAAATAAAGTTATATAAAAATTCAGAACTTAACATAGGACATAAGTTTTTATTTATTTATTTTTATTGGATTATCCAATAAAAAAAGATGAGTACAAGGCACGTCCACCAATAACTGGAGAGAATACAAACGGCCAATTTCGCAACACGGTTGAAAGTAGAAAGTTAATTTTTAATTTATTTTGAATTTTATTATTTCTTATATGTTTTACACGTTTTTTTTTAAAAAATTTAAAAGTCAACAATTAACAATCTTTTCAAAACATTCACAAACCTCATTTTTTCTATTTTGTCAATCGAATTAAAAGTTAATTTTTTTTTAATTTTTTAACTTTTTTTTATCACTATTATCTTTCTATTTTATTAACATTTTTTTAGAAAAAGTCAAAAAAAAAATTAAAATAATAATTTTTAACTTACTTTTAAAAATAGGCGAAGGCTATCAAGCCCCCATGTCAATCCCTTGTACATTCGACCTAAAATATAAATAAAAACAATGCAAAACAGCGACTTTCATTTTTTTAGAAAGTATACTTATTAATTAAGAGTGCTTGTGGTTCGGTTGTGGTCGGGTAACCTTTAATCTGCCATCCGTTTATCAGATTAGAGGATTAAAAAAAATCAATCTGTATCTGTCTGCCAGATTGGTGGATGCAGATTGAATGGATTGACCGATTGGCAGATGGATGCGAATCAGTTTGGCAGTTTAAATTTTTACAAATTTTAAACATAATACAACAACTTGTCAACATTTTTTTTTTGGATAACAATCTAATTCAACTTAACTAAAAGATTATCAAGTAAATTATCAAATACCAATAATAAATACATACAAGAAAATCATGCATTATTAAAACTATTTCATTATTGTTTGTTATTCAAAAACTATTTAAATTGATTTTTTTTTTAAAAATGACAAAATTAAGCGTTATATTTTTCACATAAAAATACCAAATATCAACATTTGTTATTTGATAAAAAGAATTTTCAAATTGAAAACACAACAGAATATCTAAACTCTTTTTCAATTGAAAACACAAACAGAATATCTAAACAAATTGAAAACACAAAATCTTACAAATTACTAGGGGTGCTCACGGTTTAACAATTCGTTTGCGGCCAAAGGAATCTCAAATCTGTTATCCGTCTAAAACTAGGCGGATTGAAAACAAATCAATCCGTAATTGTTCGTTCGTTATCATACATCCGTCCAAAATATGACGAATCGGCTCGGTTCAGTTGGTTTGGACAAATCGAAATATTCGCTGAACACCCCTAATTCTTTTATATCAATTTTTTTTATTCGGATCAGTAACTCATTTATTTTTAGTAATGTGATAAAGCCAAGTTGAATTTTTTAAATTCTAAATAAACCAAAACTTAAGTACATTCACATTAATGTTTATATGAAATGAAAAAAAAGGATAAATTACCACCACAAGAGAAAGCATCTTTGCCAACTAATTTTGGCGACTATAAAATTTTTAGTCGCCAAAAGTATAATTTTTGGCGACTAAAATTGATTTTGGTTGGCATTGTTTCCTTATTTACCTACTAAAATATTGTAGTTGGCAAATATTCTCAATTAGTGACTAAATTTTAAATTAGTCGGCAAAAATTAGTCTTTTCAGCGACTAAATAGTATATTAGTCGCTGTTGGTGTACAATTTAGGCTAAAAAATTAAAATTAAATCTGTAATATACACTTTTTCTCGACTAAAATACTGATTAGTCGCTAAATTAGCTTTACCGACCAAAAATTTCGTCGCTAAAGGATGATCATGCATTCATTTCCTGACTAAAAATAATTTAGTCGGTAAAAAGTTGAAATTTCAACTCGCGCCACTTCATTAAGTAATGCGCGCGCGTTGCTGGTGATGTATAAGCAACAATCTCACACACTGAAGCATAGTGTATCACACATACCTCACCAAATCCCTTACAGAACTCAGCCCCCTCACCGTATTCTACTGTACGGACGACGCACAGACGGCCACCGCCACCGCCACCGCCACTAATCACCACCGTCTCAGCCCTTCAATCACAGGTTCTCTCTCTCTCTCGCTCTCTCTCCCTCTCTCTCTCTCTGTCTCTCTCGCTCGAGCTCTCTGACACAGTGTATCTATGTCTTTGTCTGTCTCTGTGTCTCTCCATATCTTTCTCTCTATTTGTCTCCCCCTTTCTATGTTTCCCCCATTTTAGGCCCGCAGCTTGCTGTGTAATGTGTGTGACTGATGTTTACTGTGTGTGAATGATGTTTGAATGAACAATTCGAAATCAATTTGTAAGCAATTTTTAATCATTCAGTGTGTGTAATAATAATAACAATAAAGGCTTCAGTGTGTGTAACAATCAGATGATTGATGAAAATTTGAATTTTCTTGAACCCCTGTATTATACAAATTGAAAATTTGAATCACAGGTTTTTCTTTTTGGTTAGGTTTATGTACTCAACCCATATATCTCACTGAAATCCGTTAAGATAATTTGAATTTTCATCATAAGCCCCTCCAATTGATGTAAAAAAAACAAAAGATTTGACCATGAAATTATATGGAAAACATTTTATGCCAATACATGTATAACAATTTTTTTTTTTGTTTTTCTGATTTTGAAAGCATTCATGTCTAATTCAATTGGAAACAAAGTACCAGTTTCAATACATAACAAAGAAAATAAAATTAGGGAGAAGTGTGTTCAGACAGCCAAGGGTTAGTCGTCAAATTTTGGGATCCAAACCCATATCAGATTTTGTGCTCACTAACCTTGCAACACGATGTTTAATGTCTCTTTCTATCTCTCTCTCTGTCTCCCCCTTTCTGTGTTTCCCCCTATTTCTGACATTGTTGCTGTTTTATGTGTGTGAATGATATGTAATGTGTATGAATCATATTTGAATGAACAATCCCAAATCAATTTTTAATCAATTGATTTTTCTATGGTTTAATTATGTGTGTGTAAATTTAATCAATAAGGTATCACGGAAACAATTCCAATGATAGCCTCATTATTCAATTAGGAAATTCCAGGTTTATCTAATATATGGTAGTAGAAATTTCTAATGGCAATTGTATAATCATTTTGTTTAATTAAAGTAGTGATAACCAACATCATTCATGATAGTTATAACTATTTCTTCTTGGTTTGTATAGCATAGCTCAGGATTGAAGGTAAATTCTTATGTTGCTTGTTGACCTGTACATGTACTGGATTACGGAAGTCCTTTTCAATTCCTTCAAAAAGGGCATACCATGATAAGATATCTTATATATCTTATGTCAAATCTATAACAGAGGAGCTGTAGAAATGAAATCCTACCATATCACACCAGGAAGTCGAGAACTTAATGGTACCCTCGCCCAGCTATCTCCGGAATTAGAAGTGTGCACTAGAATCGCAGGTTTTCAGATAATCCATCATTCCTTCCCTTTGAAGCTGATGGAGTTAAACCTGTAATTGAAATCTTCATCTTATGTGGAGGGTATTGACCGTGGAACCCAAGTGTTCCCCCCTATCTTTTGTTTCTAAAATGTTTTTTTCATTAATTTGTTTTGTTAGCTGAGAAGAATGGGAAAATAAAAAAATAAAAAAATAAACTACACAAAGAATAAAAGACTAACTTCATTTTCTTAGAAGTGTCAGTGAATCGGATTGGGTTGCATGGCCTCCCAAGCACCATCCATCCGAACTTAGGTGAATTGACAAAAAATGCATCCACAAGTGTTCACTCAGACTATTGAAACCATCTATTCTATGGCAAATTGGTTCAGGCCGTTCGATTTTGGCAGATTTGGTGGATACTTTCCCACCCCTAGTTAGCTCAATTGAAGAACAAAGCTGATAACATGGTCCATGATCCCATGAATAATCCCATGAATGATCCTATGATCCCACCTTCCTCATTTTCTTTTTATTTTTTCCTTTTCTCCCCCCTTGCTTTTTTTATTTGTTTTATTTTCCTCCCTGTTTATTTAATTTTTTTTCCTCTTTTTGTTCACTTATTTTTATTTACACCGTGCCTTCAGGCACGAGTATACACTAGTCCTTAAATATTTGGAGATGAATGAATTTGTACATGTATTTTCTCTGTAAATAGAAAGGTTGGGTTGATCAAATGGGGAGAAGAAGTGATGAAGAGTGTATAGAAAGTTTTTTTTCCAAGGTCTATTCCAAGAGAGTATGACAATTTCTACAAATCATATGTATCTAATCTTCTTACCCTTAGGGCTTAGATGAAGCCCTACTCAACAAACAGAGGCGGCACTAATATGGAAATAAAGATGATAAATCCAATATGTAAATGTAATCAGTTTGTTCATTTAAACTTGCTAATTATCACATTAGCAAGTTCCACATAGGGAATACAATATACTTACAGTCATCTGTCGTAAAATATACTCATTCGTCTAACACTTAAATATATATAAAAGTCATCTGTCTTAATTAAGAAGTCAAAATATGACGATCATATCATTCCGTTGTTGAGTATTTTTATTTATTTGTTGTCCATTCCTACGTTAAAGTTTGTTTCACTTGTAGGGTTCACAAGATGGACAAGAGTTGGATGATGATAAAAGATAGGTTGAAAAGTAAAGAGTCCCAACAAGGTGTTAAGTCATTTATTGACTTTGCTACGAAGGATTTAGGCCCACACGATGAAATACGTTGTCCGTGTGTTGATTGCTTGAATGGCACAAAACATAGTCCACAAGTTGTACGCCTGCACTTAATTCGAAGAGGAATTGTGTGTTCTTATAGAACTTGGGTGCACCACGGGAAACGTGTTCCACTGTGTCATGATTATCCTAGTGCGTCAAACATTGATGGTGAAAGATATGGAGCTGCAATTTTTGACATTGATGATAATTTGGGCGAGTTGCCTACTATGTTGGAAAAGATTTACATGAGTGGCCTCATGGATGATCATATCGACGAATCACCTAATAGCTCGAAGAGAGAAAATTTGGTGAAGTTCATTAGGTTGTTTGATGATGCTCGACGTAAAGTGTACCCGGAGTGTGAAAAGTTTTCCGTTTTGTCCTTCGTTAATAAGATGCTTCATATTAAGGTGTACAATAAATGGAGCAACAAATCTTTCAATATGGTTCTGCAAGTTTTGAAAGAAATTCTCCCAAAGTGTGACGAAACAGTTCCGTGGACCCTTTATGAAGCAAAAAAGTTCTTACATGAATTGGGTTTGGGATATGAGACCATTCATGCATTTAAGAATGATTGTATTTTGTTTTGGAAGGATAATGCGAAACAGGAGAATTGCCTTACATGTAAGGAGTCTAGATACAAGTTCAACAATCAGAGTGGTAAAAAGATTCCTCACAAAATTTTGAGGTACTTTCCTTTGACATCGAGGTTGAAGCATTTGTACATGTCGAAAAAAATTGCCGCAGATATGAGATGGCACAAAGAGAAGTGTGTGGATGATGGAGTGTTAAGGCATCCAGCTGATGGTCAGACATGGAAGGACTTTGATATGCAGTATCCTAAGTTTTCTGTGGAACCCCGACATGTAAGGTTAGGGCTTGCCACGGATGGTTTCAACCCGTTTGGAAATATGAGCACATCGTACAGCATGTGGCCCGTACTGTTAATGCCTTACAATCTTCTCCCGTGGAAATGTATGAAAGAGCCATATCTGATGATGTCAATGCTTATTCCCGGTCCATCCTCTCCTGGAAGAGGCATCGATGTTTACTTGCAACCATTAGTGGAGGAGTTAAAGAATTTGTGGGAGCATGGTGTGCAAACATATGATGCCACAATCGGTGAAATATTTACAATGCATGTAGCAGTCATGTGGACCATCAATGACTTCCCCTCATATGGTACCCTCTCTGGTTGGACTACAAAAGGTTACTTGGCTTGCCCTAATTGTAACATGGATGCATCATCTCAGCGTCTGCGAAGTAAGATAGGGTATATGGGTGCCCGCTGGCACTTGCCCGAGAACCATATTTGGCGAAGAAGTAAGCTCTTCAATGGTCAGAACGTGCATCGGTCCAAACCTTGGAGTTATCGGGAGAATAAATATTGCAGCAAATTGATTCGGGGACATATAGGTTGTATGGCAAGCATCCAAACAACCGAAAAAGACAACGGAATGAAAGTCCATCTTCCAATTGGACCAAAAAAAAAGCATTATGTTCAACCTACCGTATTGGAAAACGCTGAAGTTTCGGCACAACCTTGATGTCATGCACATAGAGAAGAACATATGTGACAATCTGGTTGGGACACTACTAAGCATTGATGGCAAGAACAAGGACACGGATAAAGCCCACTTGGATCTAGAAGACATGCGGATACGCAAGGAGTTACACTTGAAGAGGCGTTCCAATGGCTCATTTGAGAAGCCTCCGGTATCGTACATATTGTCCCCGGTAGAGCGACAAGGCTTTTGTGATTTCTTGAAATTGATTAAGTACCCTGATGGCTATGCAACAAATATATCCAGTTGTCTCACCGCTCAAGGTGGAAAATTAACTGGCCTCAAAACTCATGACTGTCATGTCCTTCTACAATGACTATTTCCAATTGGGATGCGTGGATACCTGTTGAAGGAGATTGGGACCACACTCTTTGAGTTGGGAAATTTTTTCAAACAGTTGTGCTCAAAGACATTGAGGGTGACTGATTTGGAGAAAATGGAGGAAGAAATCGTATTTATAGTTTGTAAGCTTAAGAAGATTTTTCCTCCTGCATTTTTTGATGTCATGGTCCACTTGGAAATTCATTTGCCTCACGAGGCTATGCTTGGAAGGCCTATGCAATATCGATGGATGTATCCCATTGAGAGGTAATACCACAAGTTCCCAAACATCCCTAGTTACAAGTACTACATAATGTAAACATTAACATTCAAATCATATTGGCATGTAGGATGCTCGGACTTCTGAAAGGCTTTGTTCACAATAAAGCTCTGCCAGAAGGGTCTATTGCGGAGGCTTACATTTCAAAAGAGTGTACGACGTTTTGTTCAATGTACTTAGATGGCGTTGAAATGATGTTTAATCGGGAAGAACGGAACTATGACGGGGGTGACAATGGCGCGGGGTTGGCGATTTTCACTCAAAATGTTTGTCCGTATGGTCTACTAACAAGGGAAACTGATGTGTCTGTAGCTGACCGTGAAAGGGCTCATTGGTTTGTCCTACACAACAACTTAGAAGTGAAAGAATATTTAGAGTACGCGTTGAACTTGTGACGTACTATATGTGACCTATATGTTTTTTTTTTAGGAATTATTCTGCAAGTTACTTATGAATTATATTGTCCTACGTAGGGAACACAAGATGTTGTTGGAATAACAACATGGAAGTGCATGCAACATTGCCAAGATACAATACAAAGAATTTCCTAAATGGTTCAAAGATCGCGTATGCTACAATTCCTTATAGCGTAGTTTACATATCAACTTAAGTTATGTTAAAAAATAACATGACAGTTTTTTCTTATGTAGATGAACCAATTGTGGCACAACAAGTCACCCGAAGCAACAGATGAGATGTGGTCACTGGCAAATGGTCCTAACAGCTTAGTGAACACATATTTGGGATGCATTTGTAATGGCGTCCGATTCCATGCTCACGACGGTGACAACCGTCGTAAAATTCAAAATAATGGATTGGTAGTGGAAGGGAACCATGAAGGCCAACTCATAAAGTTCTACAGCTACATTTGCAAAGTTTGGGAAATGACATATTTGTTTAGGCACTGTGTTATTTTATTCCAATGTGAATGGTATAACACCGGTAGTAACAGAACTTTGCGTGTTGAACCACATTTCACTACTATTGATATACGTAGTCGATGGTATAAAGATGACCCATTTGTGTTACCAAGTCAAGTGCAACAAGTTTTCTACGTACATGATACGAAGTTAGGTGCCAATTGGAGAGTAGTAGAAAAGTTTCAACAACAACGAATTTGGGATGTGCCACAACCTGATGATGTGTTCCAACAAGATGAAAGCACTAATGTTTGTAGATGTCCCCCGAACGCCCCGGGAGGGAATCCCGTTTCGTTCATTTGGGCTCACTACAATTCAGGACTCAAATTGTCACGGTTCTAAATCTGAACCAAAGAGTCCAAATTTGGCAAATCGTTTTTGAAAACAGATTTTTTGTAAAGAAGTGCCAAACATGGACTGCTTTGCCAGATATAGAGTCGCCACCTAAATATTTTTTATGGGGGAATTTAGGAAACCCTGACTCGTTTTCCTAAGGCCACGTGTCTGTCATCACCAAAGTTACCTCGGCTCGAGAACTTGGGTACGATTGGGGAAGGTCAGCTATGAGCACCCCGCTCGCCCGACCAAAGATCGGCCTCTACTAACCATGATATCTAGTTTTGAAAACATTAGCGTTCTTATTCCGATTAATTAGCTAATCTTACTATGTGATGTGCACAACCAAGAAGTATAGACTAGATTGCCTAATTTGGAACAAAGTATCGCATATACCGTTTGTTTTGAAATGGATTGAAATTTGCTACTCGCAAGTAGGCTAAAACATGGGTTTCGACGAATTTTCAACTCAAGCAACCCAACCTTCACCCACAGGCATTCAGGGCAGTTATAACACATAAGCCATATAGCCTCATGGTAAGTATGCTATCAGGCAACACTTATACTCATGCAAGGATGCTAAAACATAAATGCTTACCGAGTACTCCAAGCCAAAACAGAAACTAGTTAGTAACACATGCATGATCCTAGTTCATGTTAAGATGGCTAATGCAACACATGCAGATGCAACTACAAGGGCTCGGCTATTCTAAGATGGCATATGATGATGCTACAACTAACACGTATTCAACTTGGAATTTGAAATACAATACAGTTAGTAATGATGCGCCGAGCCGGGTGCATGCAAGACAAATGTATGGATGCACGCATGCATAGCATAAGGTATGCTAATTTAAAATCCTCATACTAACCATTGAAGCAGGTAAAGTAAAAGGAGAAAGAAGTGGGGGTTGGAAGACATACACACACTCACACACACTTATTCACAAATTATCCTCACCCGGGGACAAAAGAATAATGACAAATTAAACAAATAATTAACTACTCTAGCTAATTAAATATTACAAGCTTCTAAATTAATTAACAAATTAAATAGCAAAAGAAGTGGCTTGCAGCCGCCTCGGAATGAAGGGGAATGATGGGATGATGCATGCTCGGTTCGCCTCGCCTGGAAACCCGGTACCATGCCACTGTTGCCTCTGTTTACACTGCCTTGCTCCTCTGAAATTTATGAAAGTTTCCAGAATCCTTCTGAATCACTCCCTGAGTGTTGTGGAATATCACCGGCCACAATTCAAATCCACCGGCCATGGGAATAGGCTTATCGACCAAATATTGAACCACCGGCTGGACACTGATGGTCGGTCGGCACCAAAAGTGGTCGGCCGGCCATTACTTCCTACAGAGCCCTGTTTTGACAGCAGCAGAGGACAGATAGTGCATGGTATGGAATTTTCAAAGCAATATGTGCATAACCACTCTCCCTATCATGCTATGGGCTCAAGGGAGTTTGGTACTCGACCCTCGGACCACCAATCGCGCATTTCAATGCGTGATGGTCCAAGAAGTCAAGTATGCATTTCAATGTGAATGAATGCAACAAAACACATGAGTGCTACACGCCTTATCATGTTGAGATCAAGGACATCAGCGACCAAGGATTGAGGCGCGTTACGTAACTTTGAGTACGAACGCCCCTCATTCCTCATGCTTGGTTTGACACCCCAAACCAAGCAAAATGTAATGCAAGTATGCAATGTGACTCAAGTATGCAACATGTCTCAAGCATGCAATATGAGGCTAAGGTAACAAACATGCCAAGTACAATGTGCTAAACATGCAAGATACAATGCAATGCAACCTATCATGCAAGCTAGGATATGGAATGCAACTAGCTAAACAACATGCAAACGTGTAAAGATGAGACAATGCAAGCATGAAACCAAAGTAATGCAACATGTCAAAACATGCAATGGTGGACTTAAACCACAAAGGGCAAACCTCAGCCTTGCCATAAACAGTGGCCAAAGATGATGCAAATGATGGACAAATGCTCATGCAAACATGCACACCAATGGGCCTAAAGCTAAGGCACAAAAGGTAACTATCAAGAACACTCAAAAGATGATAAACATGGACTTAGACCAACATGTTAAACTCTGAAAATGCATAGAGGATGATGCCAAATCAACCATGTTAAGTAAGTAAGGCATGCAATAATGACCAAAACTTGAAGCCAACAAAGGGGTCCAAACCATAGCTATGTCAACCAAACCCCAAAGGACCAAAATGGCTTTAAAAAGTCCTAAGGCACTCCAAGACAAGACTAAAGCATGCATAGAACATGATCAAAACATGCCAAGAAATGGGCCCAAAACAAAGGGCATTCAAAGCCACGAAAGGGAGCATTGCTCTACGCCCACCCCAACCAAACATGGCATGGATTATGTGATGAAAAGCAAAGTTATAATATGCCAAAATAACCCCCAAAACCCACTGATACGGCAGCCCAAAGCCTCAAACACATAGGCATACACCAAGGCCCTAACATGGAGCATAAGATCACATCTCTTCAAGGCATTGAAAGGGTAGCAAATGCAAGCATGTAAGAACAAAACATGGACTGAAATGGCATAATAAGTGATTCCAAACCACTGAAATAGCCTAGGTAATGCAAGCTAAAGACTCACACACTCAAGGCTCACAAGCCAAAATACAAAGAGGCTATACCAAACAAGGCAAACATGATCAAATCAGCACCCAACAGACCTTAAGCATGATGAAATATGACCAAAAGCTTCATGAAGTCAAGCTAGAACATGTAAGCATGGAGGTCTAAAGGCAAGATGCATTTCTAGGCAAAATGGAGGAATACAAGGCAAGTATATTATGCGTGTAAGGGGTCAACAAACCACCATGGAACAGAGGTAAAACATGTTAAAAAAACACCAAATAACCTCTGAAATAAGACCAAACAAAGCTAGGCATGCATGCTACCCTTATGAGCCAAAAACATGAACAAAAGAGACACAAAGGGAGAGGGATGTCCCTCCCCTATGCAAGACTTCAAAACCTCTTCTTCACTATTGAAAATCCTCTGGATTTCAGTGGTGAGAAGGCCAATACATGAAAGTTACAAAGGCTCAACAAAGAAGGCACAAAAAAAAGGCCAAACAAGGCCAAAAAGGGGGAGGTTGACCCCCAACACCAAAGTGACCCTAATGAAACATCTTAAGCATGAAAAATCAGAGTTTTTATCAGTTATACACAAAGTTCAAAACAGCATGCAAAGTGGGTTAAAAGCTAGTGCAAGAATGGGGAATATAAAGTAGCTATGCTCACCCTTAAAGAACACTTGAAGAACAGCAACCTCAGGCCCCTTCTTCTGATCAAAATCAACTCAAAACTCCAAGAACAAACTCTCAAGACCCCAATAACCCAATAACCCAAGTATGGTGTAATACTAGGTGTCTTAGTGCAAAACTACGAACAAAACAC